CAACCAGAATATAGYTCATTTTTTTAATATTTTTATCAGTTGAAGAGGGCGAAGGTCGTCCRGAAAGARGCATKCCWTCAACGATGTCTCGACTATCTTTGAAGGCTTTGTTTCACGCATAGGTTTGTGTATATGTTAAAACTGAATCACSGTAAACCTTTTCCAACATTTGCTACGATTCCGCATACGAAATTTTAGTAGAAATACAAAATTTGAGGAAAATTCTTTGTTCGATATTTTTATCCATTGTAGGAATAGCGACAAGCTTCTAAGGTCATATTTGGGCTCATATTTGGCACAAAAATTAAGGACAGTCTTACCAACATAGCAAAATACATTTTTKATTAAAATTGCCAGGTGCTTTTTTGTCTCAATGCATATAGTCCAGCTATTTTGATTAGCGTTTGTAGTGAGGCTTATCTTTTATCATTTCTGTGACATTCAACTGCTTCAAAGAGGCAAAGTATTATCTCAATATCGGGCTGATAACTTATACGACTTGGGCGGTGCATCTAGCTCACCCACTTGAGAAATTGTAAACAAATAAATTAATAATATAATAAAATTGCCAGAAAACACGGCATTCAAATGAGCATCATTGAGCAAAAAAGCGCAAAAATAAGTRTAAATATATACAAAGATAGAAAATATATGTCTCCGACGAACATATCGGACCTAAAATGCAAACGAACAAATCATCGACAAAATTTAAATTGAGCTTTTTGTTGCTGACGATTCCCTACATCTTATTGTATATATGTATGCTCAAAGGTTTAAGCTTCCGCTATGAGGTATCATCTATATATAACCAAAACTCAAAATGTTGACTGTTTTCTATTATATCATATTTCSTTCAACTACAAACTTATGGAAAGTTATATTACTTTTTTTTTTGCATTTAATTTGACGATGTACAAGTTTAATTTATGTTATAAACATTTTTATTGATACAAAAAACCCAAAAAAGAAAAATAATAAAAAAAACATTGAATCTCTTTTTTTACAAATCCTAATGCAAATACAAAAGTCACTCAAGCAACTTTGGAATATATTTACTAATTTTTTTTTTCTTTTTTGTGTTGCCATTTAACTACTCACTCAATAAATCTGCACAACAATTCATCTGCTGCTGCAGCAATTCGCTTACATAATGCAGTCAGCAATTTTTCGACAACTGCACGACATACAACAAATTGTTTGCAACAACTAAGGCGCAAGACACGATAGACCGCGAGTACAACAACAACTCAGGACGATGAAATAAAAAAAAAAAATAACAAAAATTATGCCTCGACTGACAGACAAATAGCTAGCGACAAAGTGCACGAGACACAACTTAAAACAATAACAACAGCAAAGCGCACAAAAAAATACTTTAAAATAGAAAAATGAGAATAAAAACTTTTTAATAACAAGCATAATAAGTCCGTAGTACATGGCATAATGGCAGGCATGCTAAACGTTTACTGGCCCATTATAACATTACAGCTATTTACAGCAACAACTGCAACATTGTAGCAATAAGAATTTTCATTCGTTGTCTGACGCGTTTGTCTGGCCAGAAAATTGCTGCCAACACAGGCGCAATTTGTAGCTGAGCGCCAATAAATTCTCACATAAAACGCTCGCTTGGAAGCGTGTGTGCAGCGAAATCGGCTGTATGTATGTATGTGTGTGTGTGTGTGAGTTTGCATGTATGGCAGGTTTGTTTGCTTGACTTTTCAAAAGTAATTAAATACTGTTTAGCGTATTAACGGAGCGAGCGCTTTTCTTGGGGCGGGCAGCAGCCTTGCCGACACTTGGCATTGTACTGGCGCTGCACGCTATCTTAATTAGCATTTAAATTTTGTTGTATTTTATTATTATTATTACCATTAGTTTTTTTTTTACATTTTTTTATTTAATTTTTTTCTGCATTCATTCGTGGCGCGCATACAAGTGAGCGAATGGCAAAGCAGGCAAATACTCGAGTGTGAAATGCTGCTGTGTGGCAATGCATGTTGGCATGCATAGTTTGATGTACAGCAATGCTTCAAAGTACACTCGCCATGTGTGTAGCTGTCGCATTTAATGCCACTACTAGATATTTTTTTAGTTCTAAAATTTTAATTGCGATTGAAARACGTGTTGATACAAACATTTTGAAGGCCCCTGAGGCATGCACGCGACGATATATTGCTGACGGATGTTTGTGAGTTGTTTTTGTTGTAATGCAACTGACAGCTTAGCAAGCAGTGTATGCAATATAAGTATATATGTGTGTTTGTGTGGCATGTACATATAGTGGCGATGCTGCCGTGTACATAACACGTTTCAATGTTGCATGAATTATACTGTAGCGCTGCTAATAACACGTGATTAGTGTTATTGATACAACTACATATGTATGCAACGAGGCATATACTCGAGCGAACGCTTACTTCTGCTACATTTGATAGAGCTCGTTTTAATTTGTATTGTATTATTTTATATTTGCACTACTTATACCTGTATCATGCTACTTGATCGCCTTGTAGCCTACCATTATTGAGCGATTTGTTGCAATTAGCAATGGCAGCGTTGCAAGTGCTGCATACATTTGCCACTTACTTGGCTATCAGCAGTGTTGCATCTCAGTTGCCTTGAAAAAACACATACACATAYACTTATACGCCGCGAAATGCAAGAAAGAAATTAACCAATCTGCTTGGCGCGCCACTCATCAAGTTGCCACACTAACTTACCCGCTTATTTATTTATGCACTCAGTGCACCAATTGACTGCCACTGACAATGCGCGTCCGAGTGGCGGCGCGCATTCGCCCGCATATCGTRCCAACTGATCGGCAAATAAATCACTATAATTAACCGCACTTAGCAATAATTTCGCTGTCAATATTGTCAATGCATTGTGGCACAGCGGCCGMAGCGCGCCGCACAGTTCATGCATCATTTTGCAKTTAAATTGACTGCACTGCCACTGCACTACCACTGCATATACATACATACACGGTGTCACAGSGACGCCGCGCCGCCCCACTGCTTTGCGTGCCGCTGCGTTATGCGCGCCGCAGCGCTTTGCTTTGTCGTGTTTGCTTGTGGGTTGCAATGTGCACAAATCAAAGCTTAAAATTAACCCGCAATTAATGTCAGAATGCGGTCGCGCGCATAGTGTCTCACCAGCCGCATGGTCRTGGCAAATGTGCAAATGTCATCATGCTGCCACTGCGACGTTCTTAACTGCATGCCACACTGCCGCCGCCGCCAATTGTCACTGCGCGCATTCGATTTGGCGGCAATTTGCACTCTTTAGAATCGCGCTGTCGTTTGTCTGCCTCGAAGAAAAGACAATTCATACTGTGCAACACCTTTTAAAAATGCGCGCGCAGCAGCAACAAAAAATACGTCATTTGAAGAAGCGAAAAAAAAAGAAAACGTATGAAAGTCAAAAGATAAACGCGCAGTTTCTAGTGTGTCCTCATCAACGCCAACACAGCGCATCGCTTTCGACAACATTGATTGTCCCGTTTGCTGTTGCGCGTGGTGTGCAAGGTGCAGTTGTTGTGCTTTTGTGTGGTAATGCTGCACAATTAAATGCAACACCATATAAAATGGCGCTGCACCAGCGGTAGTGTAAGTAAAAGCAGCGCGCGTCTCCATCATGGTAGCTTACTGCAACAATAGCGCTTCGCGAATGCGCCACAAGTAATCAGCACGTCAGTTAGTGTAGCGCGCCCGCTGAAAGGGATCACTTTGCGCCACAGCCTAAATATGGCATTCGATTTATTTATCACCTGTCGTCCAAAATGAAATTTCGTCGTCCGCCCGCACCTGCCGCTCGTTTGTTGTGGTAGCACTGCAATGGCTGCTGTGTGCCACAMTTTATTTTTTGGTTTTTTTATTTTATGAATTTACTGTTCTTGCACATATAGCAACATTAATATATGTATGTTTAATGCTTTTCGTGCTCCGGTATTTCCATTGGCACTTGTCGGCRTCGGTTGCGAGGTGTGTTATGCTTTATTGAGGGAACGTTGTCAGTTGGGTGTTGCAATTAAGCAATTTTGATTTTTTTTTAAAGCTTTAACCTTTCTTCTAGATTTTAATATAATTAATTAATTTTTTTAAATTTTTATTTAATGTTTTTTTTTTTGCTAAAGATTATATTATGTTTTTAGAATCGTGTCGTCAATGAAGGGTTAATTAGTGAAGGGTCTCTGTAAGACCTGCCATTGTACATACAGTCATGAGAGAAGCCTTATGTGGTTTATTGTTTGTATTCCTTTGCTAAATATTCTCAAARTTTGATTGGAATTAAAAATTTATATTCAGATTTGATTTGAGCCTGAAACTTGTATTAAGATTTTGATTGAGATTGAAAATAAGTTTGATATTWATTTTGAAATAAGACTTACTATAGATCTAGATTTAGAATTTGACTTAGATTTAGATTTCGATTTAGATTTAGATTTTGTTAAAATTTAGATTTAGATTTCGACTTAGATTTAGACTTAGAATTAAATTGAAATTAAGATTGAGACTGTCTCTGATATTGAGACTAAGACAGGAACTGCGACAGTGATTAGGACTCATATTGAGATTAGATTGATATTAAGACTGAAATTGAGACTAAGAGTAAGATTGAGAGTAAGAATTAGACCTGATTAAAATTGAGGTTGAGGTTGAGTTTGAAGTTGTGATTGAGGTAAGGATTGCGATTGTAATTAATATTGACATMTATATTGATATTAAGATTGAGATTAAAATTGAGAATGAGAGTAGTGAGATTGAGATTGGGATTGACATTAAGACGGAAACTAAGATAGCGATTGAGATGAAAATTAATAACGGAGAGTACTCCGTTTTCTCGCTTTTAGCAAAAAACAAAAAAAAAAACAAATAAAAAAATAAAATAAAAAAAACAACTAGGCACCAATTTCATAAAACCATTCATACTATATTTCAGAATTTTGTATCGAACAATTTTTTAATAATCGTAATTTATTTGCTTTCTCATTTCAGATGGTAAGTTCTTATCATCACTAAATCCTTCAGAACTAACATATGATGGTAAGTCACATTTCATCGCATCATTAACACTATACTTATTGCTATTACTTAATTTATACTTAACTTATATTCTTCTTTCAAAACGATCTTTTCATTTATTATCTAAATCATATAAGTTTATGACCCAATTTCCAATGCAAAGTTGCAGCATCCCTACATTAATGGAACAGGTTTCAATTTCCGGTCTTTCAAAAGTTCAACACACACTTTCATTCTCGAATAACAACAAAACATACGCGCACATGTATATGATATATGAACTGATATAGCGTGATGAAATCTGCTCAACGGTAGCATTATTAAATCACATAAATTAATTATAATGAATTTATTGTTGTAGTATTACATCATAAGCTCAGCACTTTGCGTAACATCAATCAAAATTGTTTCCCTTTCATTTTAAGTACTGAACTTGTCTTGTATCGGCCGACCGACAAGCAGCTGCGCTAATCTGATGGTACGTGCGTACCGGACACGCCCACTTAAAGCTCTATACCACGTTGAGCAAACGGCGTAGCGCTGCGCCGAAAATGAGAAACTTCTTTTTAATTTAAGACATGCAGAAGGGCAGCTGATAAAAACCCATTATAAACTTTAATTTTAATTAAAAACCCTCCTCCGTCGCGGAAGCTACAAAATTGGCGCGGCCGCACATCAATAGAATGTGTCCACATGATTACGCCGCTCACCACTTGCCGCCGCCATACATACACGCACACGCGCCCAATGAGGTTGGTACAAAAACTGTCTACACCTTGAGCGCATTCCATCACTTTGAAACGAAAAGGAAAACAGCAAAAAGCCGGTGATCTTTAATATCAACAGCAACATCATCAACGTCATCGCCGACACATCTTTCTTGGTCTAAATTGCCCTGTGCATTGTTGTTGTTGTGTCAACAAAATCATCACAGAAATTGGAATTTTCGATTGACGGCTCCCGCGCGTTCACTTGATCGATCACGTTCGATTAGACGGGTGGAGTAAACTGTGTACGCCCACACTGTGTGCGAATCTGCGCAAATTGCTACTAGTCGAAACGTACAAAGCATAGCGCTTTGGAGTGTATAAATATTAAAGGATCACTTTAAAGAGTTTGACTGAAATTTGAAGCTACTMAGGTGACGTGACAGTGGCAGGTACTACTGAACGCGCGTGACCTGTCGACAAATATTAGAGATTTCTATAAAGTAGTTGTGTTGCGCGGTGGCAGTGAAAATCGATTGAYTGTTGATAGCAACCTTGTCGGCGTTACGTGCGCGGCGACGCCTCTTTAGCGAAGTAAAGAAAAAGTCGAAAATTTATTTCAGATACGCTGGCCTCTAAAACTAATGCCAAAATATATATAATAATACTTAATCAGCGCGTTCATTTAGTTTATAGCGGCAACTATATACCTAGCAAGCTCTAATGTTGTTAATATACTATGGGCAGCGGTAGAATGAAAAATGCATTAAACGCGCACTAATATTGCCACGTGATCGAACATTTACGCGCGCGCGTAATAAAATTTTTGCGGCGGCAGCATTTTGATTTATAGCGCGCACACATATACAAATACAAGACACGGAAGAAGTGCGCAAATAACTGCTGATTTTGTGACGCTCTTGCCTCGATCGCGTTAACCAGTGCGCTTAACTAAATACCATTACTGGGGTTTGCGTCCATGCTATGTGCAATTTTATGATCACTGTGCTCCGGCACTAGCGCTCCGCGTGCTCCTGAGTACGCCGCCACTTGTTCATTCATCGATTCATCGTCTCATATTTATAGCTTGTGTCTGTGTGTGCGCGTCTTCACATTAAGACTCTTACTTGTTTGTATATTCAGCCAGCTGTCTGATTTTATGACTTCACTGCATACTTGTGGTATGGCTTTGCGAATGAAGAATGAAGTGTAAAAGTACTTGCATCGTAAAATTTAATAATAGTAGTAAAAACTAAGCGATATTCTTGCTTTTGGAGGCCGCATAGAAATTTATATATTTTTTGTTCGCTTGATATTTTTTATGGAACTAACATACACTCACAACTCACTTGCCTTGCGTCACTGTTCATTGCGCGCAGGATCAGCGGGCACACTCCATGCCTGAGCGCGCGTTGCCATTATTACAATTATGCCATTTTGGTGTTTAGTTTCTTACATTTGCTATCCGGTAAATTTTATGTTGTTCTACATAAATCTTCCAAAACTCTCCCGCATGCTTACTCCATAATGAAGCGCGTTCATCAGCCTTTACGTGAGCAACAACGATTTCTTTAAATATACGCGCTACAACCAGCGCCAGCTTGCTCATAATAAAATCTGCGTATTAACTTTATGAGCAGAACCAATTCCTGTATGCTGCTTCTAGTATTTTATAACCCCAAATGTGTTTACTAGCCATTCTCTGGTATCCAATTACATCCASAACTTTACATCTAGGTTTGTAGCCACTAGAAACAGTAGCCGAAATACCCTGACAGTGAGTTCATCTTAAAAGTGATGCTCTCACTGCGATTTGCGCGCTTTAAAGCGCGAAATCATAAAAAATAATAAAATCACATTAGCGCTAGTAGCGTTTAGCCGCATTTTTTAACAACTCTAGCTCGTGCTTTAGCGTAAATTTGTTCAGCTGCAGTCGTTAAAGTAGAGCGTGTTCATATGTGTAGCTTGTGCAGCTCATTCAAATGCTGGCGCTATGTGCTTCGACTATCAAGACAGGGATTATTCACAGAATAAGTTAAGTAAACAAAACTTAAATGGAATTAGCGAAAAAAAATATAAAGCGATATTATAGAAATAATGTATGCTTATAAAGAAGATTTGGGACTAAAAGAGGTTTCTAAAGTAATCTGTGAGAATTAGAAATAAAAAATTGATTCGCAGAGTTCCCTTCAGTACTTGGAACTTTATGATTTATTGAACTGAGCTGTGAAGCGTTTTCTAATATTTTTAGTTATGGATTCGAACTTGTAATTTTTTTAAATTATAAGCTTTGTAGAAATTAAAAGTTTGTTTTAGCACTAATGCTCAGAAATATCTTCTAAAACCTTAAAAAGCTTTAGAGCAGCTTGTASCAATTTTAGCGTTAGGCCTGAATATTCTGAAATAAAATCTTAAAACATAAGAGATTAACGAGTGGTTTAGACTCAGTATGGTTTAAGCAAGGTAATAAAGCTTTTTCGAAAAGCTTTTAAGACGGAAGAAGAGAGTGACAGATTTTGTAAACCRTATTTGTAATAGAATATTCTCCTAAAGGCTTTAGATTGGGTTAGGCCTCATTCACTGCTTGTCCACATTGCTTTCTCAAAAAGCTTTTTTGWCTTTATAAAGACAAAGCCGAAGAGCTATATAAACTTGCTTTTCGGGAGCTGAAGAGCTTTAAGCTTATTCGACCAGACATWATGTGTTCAATAAAATATTCTCATAAGAAGTAATAATTTCATATTTTATGTTAAAGGTATAACTGTTTTTTCCTATATTTATCCAATTAGTTCGCAATATTRCCTTAAAACAGTTATGTAAAGTTTTGCGAAAATTTTGAAATTTCGAATTAAATTCTAGTTGAAGGTTCAACAAGATATTTGACTGATTCTGACCGTATTTTTTATTTTACTTATATTGGTTGTCAAAAAAGTCTTGCGGTATTTCTTGCGGTATTTTTATTGAATTTTCAATTGTTCATAAAATTTTTTTAGATGACTCATGCCCAGCTCTTGACCAATGCTACGGCTGCTAATATGCCGGTCTCTTTCGACCAATTCAGCGATTTTATCGCAATTTTCTACGACAGGCCCTCCGGAGCGKGGCGCATCTTCRACGACCTCTACACYAGAACGAAAACGTTGAAACCATCGTTGTGCGKTGGAAATGGAAACCGTATCGGGTCCATAAACTGCACAAATTTTATTGGCGGCTTGAGATGCAAAAGSCAAAAGCCTTTATCGTAGTAGTACTGTAAAATATGCCATATTTTCTATTTATTTTTCTCCATGTTTGCGACGCTATAACTCACGAACGACTTAAAAGAAACGACAAGCAATCAAACACGTGTTAGCGCRTGAAATCAGCTTTCCAAAAAGATATAGCATGACCCCATGCGACGAATAAAACTACCGCAAGACTTTTTTGACAACCTAAYATTTTTTAAACCACATTTTTCAGTTCCATAACCAGCGCTTGTGTGTAGTTTATTACTAAAMGCTGCATTCAAAACTACATACAAAGATCCCGTCTATACATTCTGTCTTTCTATACTTGTAAGTGTAATTTAATTATATTTAAATACATAGTTACAACACGTACATTATCCACAGCATACAATTAGAACAATACTGCAATTAAGTAGCTAAGTGCACTTATAAATGTTAACCAAGCGAACTCGCGCGCCATTGCTGTAAGTGGCACATTTCGAGCAAAAAATTGCATTGGAAAATCTTACAAAAACAACTAGAACTTTAAAAGCTCCAGTGGAGCATAAACGTTGTTTAAGCAATATACTAAGGGAAAATCGTAACAAAATATTGTATACTATATGTATCTAAAACGCACACATATATACTTAGTACAATCAAATCAAGCATACAATTAAGCTGCGATATAAAACATACACAAACATACATAATATAAAAGCTTTTCGTAGTGATAGCGCGTTGTGCCCAAAAAACCGCACATCATAAATTTTGCTTTCACAACGCGCATAACAGGCGCTACACCCCGCGCACATTTAACACACACACACACACACTACTTGGGTCGCGGCACAGGTATTTACTGGCATTTAAATACATTTCGCATACACAGTTGCGCATATATTCACTTAGCATAGCAGCATTGTAGCATGCGCTATCTCGTTCGCGCCAATTCCTTCTATACAAACGAACAACTATGTTTGCTTGTGGTGTATGGATATTTACTAGCGAATATTTGCCGGCTGCCACGCGCAAAAATGTAAACAAACCATAATTCTCCCGTTTTGGACAGGCCAAAGGCGGAAAGCGAAAAGCCAAGCGCGCTCCT